ACAAGAAGGACAAGAAGGACAAGAAGGACAAGAAGAACAAGAAGAACAAGAAGAACAAGAAGAACAAGAAGAACAAGAAGAACAAGAAGAACAAGAAGAACAAGAAGAACAAGAAGGACAAGAAGGACAAGAAGGACAAGAAGGACAAGAAGAACAAGAAGAACAAGAAGAACAAGAAGAACAGGAGGAGGAGGAGGAGGAGGAGGACAACGACAACGACAACAACAATAATAATAATAATAATAATAATAATAATAATAATAATAATAATAATAATAATAATAATAATAATGGAAACTTTATTTTGACATTTTTTGTATATACAATTATAAATCTCACTAATTAAGGTAATTTGTAATTGACTACTTGAACTGTTAAATATTGATAACCTATATTACAGGTATAAAACTAAGAGAAAGCTCATTCTTAAATGTTCATTAAGTCCGGATCGGTCCAATCCTTGTTTCTACAACAAAATATATAGTACGTTGTTCTGATGGCGATGGACATTTTCTTTACACAAAAGTTCTGATGTTTTTTGTCAAGACCAACTTCGTTCAACATTTTCATGAACGTGCTACATTCTTTTGAGAAAACACCTAAGGCACTAATAGACAAATTAATAAATTTGACTGTTACGAAATGGTTTTTCTGCTCCGTAATTAGATCCTTGTGTCTTTCCCTTTTGCGAGCAACGTTATTTTGGAGATTGGATTCATATCCGACAGAGAGTTCAAGTATGTGCAAACAATCACTTGAAATCGAAAGAAGCAGATCTGGACGATAATTGTCACCGGTTATTATTGATGGGCTCTTGCATCCGGGAAGATCAACAAATAGTGTGGAGTTGTGGCCAGGTTGGAGTGTTTTTACGATAAAATTGAGAATGGAGTCATGTCTCCAAGTAAATCGTGGAAGGTATGACTGGCATCCCGCGACTACATGCAGAAGGGTTTCAGGATTCAGGCAGAGAGAACAATCCAAGTTTGACATTATTCCTCATTTTGTAAGGTTTTTGCGTGTGGCAAGGGTGTTGTTGATGAAACGCATGGTGAGTTATATATGTTTTTTGGCAAGCTGGATTGAGATTTGGACCATAGGTTGTTTAGTGTAGACAACGAGAACTTGGTGATGTTGGAGAAAAAAGGAGCCTTGGAGAAGCAGATGATTTTGAAGCTTGTCCTCTTGTGCAGATTTGAAACTTTTAAGAACTTCCTCTGTTGAGGCGTAGACGTCGTACTGTATGTTAGTATTGTCGCAAGTTGATTTACATAAATTTCTTATACAATCGTTTGGAGAGGTTTTTAAGGCTTTACGAGAGACTGTTTGGCACTGAGTGAACTTGACGGATGGAGGGTATATATTTAGTCCAAATTTATTACTTGCGAGGTAGACATTACTTAAAGTTCCGGATACGGGTATTTCAAGCCATTTCCGTACGAATTTATTGACTACTGAGTCCATGTTTTCAGAAACCCAAGTTTTTGATAAATTAGCGACAGTAAAATGCCAGGAGAATTTCGATAGGAGATAACGACTATAGAGTAGAATTTTGTTCTTTGGGTGTAGCGGTTTGAGGTCAATTTCTGACATGATATCTTCAAGGAGGGCGATTAGTTCTTGTTTGTGATCTTTGTCGGACATATTGAAATCAAAATATTTCCCTAAGTATCGGAAAGATTCTCCTATTTTAGTGGCAGGTATTAATTTATTGTCAATGAGGAGTCTTGGTAGGTACTGGACTGATTTTGTCAGACTTTTCTTAATGCCAAATGTACTACATTTGTTGACTCGAGTAATCATGTTTGACCATTGACACCAGATTGAGAAGCGATTTAAAAGGTGCTGATTTTCGCTCTCTTGGCCGCTTATAACGGCTGCATCGTCAGGAAACTGGAACCAATGAATTGGATTTAAAAATTTGGTCATGAAACCAAATTGGCGGTATTTATCAGCTTTAATGTGTTGAATAAATGTGTTGAAACACATATTGAAAAGTAAAGGACTAAGACAGTCTCCTTGAAGTACACCTCGGCCAACAGTTACGAATGGGGTAGAGAATTCGGCAGTCATAATTGTGGTGTTGAAGTCAGTATACAAGCTCTTGATAATTTCGTTAATCTGTTTGGGGATGTGATGGTAATCGAGGACAGATTGAATGAGATTATGATGCACTTCACCAAAGGCGTTATTAAGGTCAGGAAGGGTGATGACAACAGAGCGTTGTTTTATTCTCGCTTGGTTGATGATGTTTGTCATTTGAGCTGTGTGTTCCAAAGTGCGAGACAAATTGGGAGTGAAGCCTTTCTGAATCTTTTGTTCAATGAAATGATTGGCCGTTAGAAAGGAGAACATGGCGTTGCGAAGATATGAGGTAAACACTTTTAAGGGTATGGATTCCAGAGTAATAGCACGGAAATTGGAAGGATCATTTGTATTGCCCTTTTTGTAAATAAGTACAGAGCATACTTTTTTCCATTCGGCAGGTACAGATTTTGAAGATCAAACGCTACGTATTACTTCTGTTAAGTACGTACGAAGAAATGGACATCGTTTAAAGCAAGTTATTGAAAGTTGATCGAGCGTGCAAGGTGAGGCACTTCCTTTCATTCGGCGAATTATATTTGGAACTTGGCGATATGTTGGGGGCTCAAGATCAAAATTGATGACGGGTTCGGATAAGTTTGGAATCCAGCTGGGAATACAGAATAGTTTATGTGTGTTAATTGCGCTTAGAGTTCTCTTGAAATATGTCAGGCATTCTATCATCGAAAATGTGGGAAGTGGGGAAGTGTTCTTATTCAAAATGTTTTAACGTAGCCCCAAAAGTTTCTGCCAATGTAATTGTCGTGATTAAATACCTCATTGTGGTTTTGAGTTGTCTGGTCATCGAGATTGTTTTGACTGGCATTACGCAATTTCTCACGCAATGTGCGAGACACGTATTTAATTTCATGAGGTTCGGCGTTTGAAAGTTTTAGCTTTTTCAGAGACTTCTTCAACTCCTTTACTGTTTGGTCTCTGTACTTATCCACCAGTGCTTTATCCGGAATCTTTTCGGCATGACCCAAGTTATCAGCAAAATAATTGTAGACCACATTATTTAATTGCAAGATGCTAGAGCTTTGATCTTGAGCTCTGATTGGTGCATCTAATTCGAGGGCAAATCTGAAATAGTTATTGGCCGTTGACCATTCTGCGTCGTTTTGGGGGAGATTTATTCCTTTCTTTAACACTGGGAAATTCTGATTACTTGCGTCGTTTGCCATGGCATCGTTCTCCTCAACAGTAGAAGTATTAATACTATCGGTAGAGTTCTCAGTAGATTGTTGTTCAAGGTCCGTAAGCGTTCGTCAGTTACTCCGTGTATTACACGACAACTACGTTAATGCATTTTAAGACCCCGTGTTCCTTTGCGTGATTTACCACAATAGCATTTCACCTCATCAGTATTCGAGATCCTAACAGCAGAATGTATAACCGGCATCTGGTTAACTGTGTTGCCAGGAAGATTTTGATTCAACTGTTGTTTACAACGCCAAGAATGGCGGCCGAGTGTAACGAACTCTAGCCACAGAACGAGCAAACAGCGCAAATGGCCAACATAGCAACAAGACTTGAACGAATCATGATTTATATCCTAGTAAATCCGGTAGTTATAATATTTTTGATTAATAAATTGTGGTTCAAGTAAGGAAATAGCGATAAAACGAACAACATGTACAGAGGGCGTATAAACAATGCTGTTCTGCTCAATGCTGAATAATAATAATAATAATGGAAACATTTATTATTAAATAGAGATTTTACATAATTAAAACAAGCAACCAGCACTCACTACAATATGTAGGCATCCAGGATGCTTTTATGGTCCAGAGAGTTAAAAGTATTTACAATATGGTGATAAAAGTCAAGATTACCAATATAAAAGTTATAGGTTATTCCATTCCCTGTCTCTCGTAGTCCGAATGCAAACTCCACATATAGTCTAGGACCTGTATATGAGTTTGTATGCATTTCATTTAGGACAGATAATCTCAACTGTTTTAGGGTAAGTTGACCATGACGGTCAACATGGTAACGCTGCCCGAATCCCAATCCGGGGCGAAACGTCCGAAACTGACCACACCCAAAAACGACGCTTTCGCCATACTTCTATCTACCAAACCATATAAACTTTGGCTATTCTGAAGTGCTTATATGGTTCAGAGATGGTACTTTTGGGGGTGGTCATTGGTAAGTGTGAAATACCAAGCACTAATATTTCACAAGAAAATGGCCATGCAATAATCATAGTTAAATGTCAATTTGTGGCTTGCAAATTCAGATAAACAGCAGTGGACTTACATTACCTTTTTCCCTAAATCTTTTTGATAGAAACATAAATGGTACTTATTTAAATATGTTATCACTGGTTTGGTGTAAAATAGTTAATATTTTCTGACCGAAATAATAATTCGAAATGTGCCTACCTCCTGCAAATGGACGTATTTGGCCAAGTTCTCCACTTTACTCCGCTGTTTATCGGCGATCTCGTCGACATCCTACAAAAAATGTAAATCATCTCAGATATAATGGTATCCAGAACATTTTAAACAAGTTTCAACTTGGTTTCAAGTAGATCATACCTGTTTAACCATCGACAAGGTAAATCCACAACTTTGTCCAAATTCATCGCCATTTTGTCTTCCCATGTCGCTTGTTAACAATTCAGCCTTGTTACTCTTCCATCCAAGCCATTTCCATTCCACTAATAATAAATTTAACCCTTTATAACGGTAGGAAACTAAAAAATCTAAACAAAATATAAGAAATACGCCATTTTATCACCATGTAAAATTTTGCTCACGAGTCTTTCAAAACATTCCGTACAAATCTCGCGTGGTTTAGCAACAGGGACGTGACAGGGGGGTAGAGACTTGAAAAATGAAAGGAAAGCCCACACAGTATGGTAAAACCAACAATCAACATTTAATTTGTATGACTTTTTCATATTAATAAATAATAATATGTATATATTTGTTGCTACAAGAAATAAAACAAACATTTGTATGATTGTATTTAGCTTTTAGTCTATTTCACGCAGCCTTCTTCTATCTTCGTGAAATAATTCACCCCCTCCTGTCACGTCCCTGTTACTTTGTCACGCGATATTTGTACGGAATGTTTTGAAAAACTCGTGAGCAAAATTTTACATGGTGATAAAATGGCGTATTTCTTATATTTTGTTTAGATTTTTTAGTTTCCTCCTGTTATAAAGGGTTAAATTTATTATTAGTGGAATGGAAATGGCTTGGATGGAAGAGTAAAAAGGCTGAATTGTTAACAAGCGACATGGGATGACAAAATGGCGCCGAATTTGGACAAAGTTGTGGATTTACCTTGTCGATGGTTAAACAGGTATGATCTACTTGAAACCAAGTTAAAACTTGTTTAAAATGTTCTTGATACCATTATGTCTGAGATGATTTACATTTTTGTAGGATGTCGACGAGATCGCCGATAAACAGCGGAGTAAAGTGGAGAACTTGGCCAAATGCGTCCATTTGCAGGAGGTAGGCACATTTCGAATTATTATTTCGGTCAGAAAATATTAACTATTTTACACCAAACCAGTGATAATATATTTAAATAAGTACCATTTATGTTTCTATCAAAAAGATTTAGGGAAAAAGGTAATGTAAGTCCACTGCTGTTTATCTGAATTTGCAAGCCACAAATTGACGTTTAACTATGATTATTGCATGACCATTTTCTTGTGAAATATTAGTGCTTGGCATTTCACACTTACCAATGACCACCCCCAAAAGTACCATCTCTGAACCATATAAGCACCTCAGAATAGCCAAAGTTTTTTATGGTTTGGTAGATAGCAGTATGGCGAAAGCGTCGTTTTTGGGTGTGGTCAGTTTCGGACGTTTCGCCCCGGATTGGGGTTCGGGCAGCGTTACCATGTTGACCGGCGTGGTCAACTTACCCTAAAACAGTTGAGATTATCTGTCCTAAATGAAATGCATACAAACTCATATACAGGTCCTAGACTAATAGTTTTCTAATTAAAAAGTTTCTTTGAAATATGTCTAAGCTCATTACATTCTCTAAAAAACCATAAATCTTTTTACACTCCATTCCAATTACACCAATAGCCCCAATCGATAAAATCAGATACTCAACGGTATTATATCCTTGCTTCAAAGCATTACAAAGATTCCTATAGCGTGTTGTTTTCCTAACACAATTTTTAGTAATGTTAGTCTCAAATCCAACAGTCAATTCAATTACGTAAATTGCTTGATTGGTGTAGTTCTCAATGATCATATCTGGTCGGTCATCAAATCCAGTTACAACTGATGGATTTTCGAAGCCTTCGACATCAGCGTAGAAGCGTAGATCTTTCTTAACGCTCGATAAATACTCGACAAGATGTTTAGGAATCGAGTTGTGACGCCAAGTGTATAGTTGTTCGTCCAGATGGATCTTACAAGAGGACACGACATGTTGTAAGGTTTGCACGTTTGAGCACGCCTTGCAAAATTGCTAGATGTTTATTCCAGAGAAGCATGTTCTTTAAAGTAGGCAATGTGTTATTCAAATATCTCGTGACAAAGTTGTAAATGTTCTTGGGTAGTTTGTCTATAGTAGCATGCCAATCTTTAACCATCTCAGGAAAGGCCTCATTCCAAAGCGATTTTATAATTAAACTTTGTGAAGTTAAATTATATGTGATGTTTGCAACTTTTTCTGCCCGGATTTCTTGAATAACTTCTTTCGGCTTGAGATAACGATCGTACTGAACATTAGTATTTGTACTACTGGCTTGGTACACTTGCCGAATGTCAGGTGAACTTGAGTTTTTCAACTTGCTTCTTAAAATAACTTGACATTGTGTGAATTTCACCGATATATCAATTATGTTCAGACCAAATTTGGATTTAGCAAGAAGTAAAATATCTAAAGTACCACAGGGAGGTATTTCAAGCCATTCACGGAATTTGTTGTGACACATGATACCTAATGTTTGTCGTACCCAGGTTTTATCGATGTCCGCAATTGTCACATGCCAGGAGATTTTAGGTAACAAATATTTCATATACAATTGTAACTTAAACTTCGGGTGTAATGCAAGTCGATTAATTTTTCCCAGAATTTCCTCAGTCTCCTCGAACAGCAAACGTTTGTGATCAGAATTATCCATAGCAAAATTATAGTAACAACCAAGATAACAGAAACTTTCATTACGCTTTACTGTAGGAATCATATACTGATTTAGATATAATTTTGGAAGGAATTGGGAGCTTGTAGAGTTCAATTTAGAAACTCCAAAAGTATTACACTTATCAATCCGCAAAGTCATCTTGGCCCATGAGCTCCAAGCAGTAAAAGCGTTCAGTAGAATTTGAGCTTCGTACTCCTCACCAGATGTAATAGCCGCATCGTCGGCAAATTGAAACCAATGCTTTGGCCTTAGAAGGGGTTGTGAAGACGTAAAGCCAAGTTCAATAAATCTATCAGACTTGATATATTGAATATAGGTATTGACTAGCATGTTAAACAACAACGGGCTAAGACAACAGCCTTACAAAGCACCTCTATCAACCCTGATGAAAGGCGTTTGGTATGCATCAGTAACCACAGATGAATAAAAGTTGCTGTATACATTTTCAACGCATTTACGAAAATGCTCCGGGATATGATGGTATTGCAACACAATGGAGATTAGTCGATGGTGAACCTCGCCAAAAGCATTTTTTAAATCCAACAAAGTTACTGTTAGAGAACGCTGTTGTTTTTTTGCTTGCCTGATTAGAAATGCTAAGTGTGCTGTGTGTTCAAATGTACCAGACATTCCAGGGGTAAAACCTTTTTGAATGCTGCTTTCAATGAAATTATTCATTAACAGGAATTCGTACATCGTATTACGCAAAGATAGACATGAAAATTTTCAATGGAACTGGCTGCAAAGTAATCGGTCTAAAGTTATTAGGCTCATCGGGGGAATCTTTCTTGTGAATCAAAATGCTAACTGCTTTCTTCCAAATATCCGGTATTTCCCCCGACTTCCAAACATTTTGAATTATAGCAGTTAAGAGGCAGTCTCTGTAAGAACCTCATGACCTCTTTGGATCAACAAATGGATTTCTCTCAAACTTTGTAGTTGAGATTGCCTTTATAAGGGTTGTTTCAAAATGCATTTTGTTTTCAGTCTAATTGCATTTTGGCAAAGTTCCAGGGGGGTCAAGTTGAGGGCTAAAATTACGATTTTTGCTGTTCTCAATAGTGGATTTTTGCTGATTTTTAAACCTCTGTACATCAAACAAAAATGATCATAAAACTAAATCTTTCCAGACAATAGTAGCTTTATATGTCTTAAGTAACAAGGTATCTATAAATTTTTCAAATTTGTTTTCTAAATATAGAAATGACATCATTCATGATAGACTAAAATAGAAATTTCCAAGTTCCTTAAAAATGGGTGAAATAAAACCCTAAAATTCAAAAGTTAGACTTGCTATGAATGTAATATTTTTTGTATGGTGAGATTAAAGGCTGGTCTTACATAATATAAAATAAAATATTGCGGCCTGTAAATTTTGGAGGTACTACAGGCCAACTAAACATCAACATTTTCGACTTTCGACAGTTTGGAGCAAATAGGAACGTTCATGTTTACTGTAAACTCTGCTTTGAAAGAGCCGGCAAAATTTTACATATTATTGGACCTAGAACAGTGATGAACATTCGTTTGACCTTTACTGTTGTCTAAAGTCTTTTAGGGAAAAGCACTGACACAGGCATTTCCGTTATGTATGGACGTAATGGACGGTATTGTATAAATAATAAACATTTTCTAGCTGAATATAATCAAGACAAGTTATACATTTGCATCATGTAAAGACGTCCGTTAGTCAAAAAATTATCAAACATCGATTTATGTTGAAGATTTATTTAGAAAGTCAAGAGAAAACCTACCCCAATATAATTGATACAACGTATGCCTCGATCATAGCCTTGTCATTCAATGACCCCGATTGTCAGTTGACTTATTATTTGACGTTCGTTAGCTTCCATTATTCTTTAGTGTTAATCACTTTCGATATCTTAATGATTATTGTAGACACAGTCTCGTATATAAATCGTGATTCTTCGTCAACAGGCAATGCTAGTCAATTGCTCCATCGTTTAATTTTACTCGTTTTGTCATTGTTATGGCGGAAGCCGCTGACCAGCTAAATAATTCGGCTGTCAAAACACGTGCAACTTGCCGAGAATTGTTTGCTTTCACGCCGAAAATTTACCGCGAGACTATTTCCACAGGTGATTTTTGACTTTTTAATTTTTGTGAAAACACATGCAACTGAAATAAAAAAATATATCTAAATTTTGTATAATTTCCCGGTTTTGATATTAACTTGCTTTCATATAAACTTGCTTGCGTGTTGCGTTAATATATAAGTATAAACTTGTGAATTACGCCAACGTAACAAATTGAAAAAATTCAATGTCAAAATGCTGAAAGAAATCTGCAGCGAATTAAAAGTACATATATATATATGCAAAACTTTATTATTATTATTATTATTATTAAAGTAATATTTTAACAGCTTCCATCACATACGTGGTTTTCAGGGAGGTTCTGCAAATAAATTACAATATAGCTAATAGTAATACGTTATAATATATCTTTCTGAAGTATATGTACTAGGAAATTACGATG